AGAGAGAGAGAGAGAGAACAAGGACTAGATGCTATCCAGCTCTAAATCCTATGAGCCTATGACCTCTTATTAATACCTATGTACATCATAACAGACCTAATTCAAGTTGTACAAGAAAGAGAAAGAGTACTAAATGTATGTTTTATGAGAGTAAATTAAAGATACAACGAGCAAAGTCTGAATATCTGGCACGGCACCTTTTTTGCCACCACATGCCATTAACAAATTATAAATACCCGTACTAAGGATTACAGCTGGCCGGGAGCATTAGGTAGAGTTTCACTTGATTCAGTTCATGGCATGTTTCACTGTACACAACATCTGGTTTTCCCATAAAAATCATTAGGAGTACCCTATCATTGTTAGTTTCTTAATAGTTTCTTTCATTCCACTAAACAAACTAGGTGAAGAAGCTGGCCAATCAATCCTAGGGGATGCCTCCAGAAACATGATCACCAGAAGTGTTTATTTTTAACATTTTAAAATTTGCTAAAGTAAAGCCAGAACATCATCTCATTTAAACACTTAAAAGGTCAAGTGATTTTGTAATAAGATCCTGAGGGAAAGAGTGAGTCATTCATTATTCACACAATTGGCAAAAATGTTAACCTACAAGGACATTGGGATGAGCTGGCATCATCTGGCCCTCTGACCCTTACCAGCTGTGTGTGCATGGGCAAGTTAAGATCTCTCAGTGCCCCTAGACAACTAAGTCTACATAACAGAAACAGCTGCTGATCTGCATCCTTGGAGATAGTTTCCATACAGGTACTTCCCCACTCTGATGACATAACATCAAGTCCCAATCCCAAAATACTGCCAAGCTACAGTAGCACTGAAATGCCAGGTGAGGCTAGCCCCTCTGGAAGGGAGCTCAGAAGCTAGCTAAGTACAACTCCCTCACTTTGTCATCACCAACAAGGATTTATTAGCATTTACTACATGCTAGGCACTGTACAAAACAGAGTGGGGACACAAAGAAGGGGAAAAACATGCTCCCTGCCCTCCAGAAGCTCACATTATTGTGGGAAATAATGTGCAAACATGAGGAAATTGAGGCCAAGAAGGGTAAGCAATGGGCCCAAGGTCATACAGGCACCGTCAGGGCCATGATTGGAACCTAGTTATCCTGCACTCCAAATCTCGAACTCTTTCCACGGCACAATACATTTTCCTAGTCCAATGCCATTTTGTGTAATTTTTTTTTTGGGGGGGGGGTTAGGCAATTGGAGTTAAGTGACTTGCCCAGGGTCACACAGCTAGTAAGTATCAAGTGTTTGGTCTGAGGCCACATTTGAACTCAGGTTCTCCTGATTTCAGGGCCGGTGCTCTATTCACTGTGCCACCTAGCTGCCCCATTTTGTGTAATTTTTAAAAAGTAATTAAAAGCTGAGGGTGGGGCTGGAGGTGTAGAACATTGTAAATAATGTTAGATTTTATGCTCTGTGGATCGGTTTGGCTTAATTTTTTTTTCTCTCCCTCCCTTCTCTTTACCTTTAAAAAAAAAACACCTCTTTGTTATAAGGGATAGATCTCTGGGAAATATTAGAGTTCAAATTCTACTTAGCTATGTGACTCTGGGCAAGTATACTCACTTCTTAGCTTCAGGTTCCTATCTGTAAAATGGAGATAACAGCAGCCTATAACTCCCAGGATGGTTATGAGGATCAAATGAAATAAGATATAAAGTGTTTTTTTGCAAACCATAAAACTGTATAAATGCTCATTTAAAAAATTTTACATGAAGGAACTCTACGCAATATAAAAACAAGACACATCAGTAAAAATCTATTTTAAAAGGTAATAAAAGTAATACAAAGCATTATGTGTGCAAAGCTGGTTACAGACGTTGTTTCCAAGGCTGCAACAGCAATGGGCTCTCCTAAGAGATTCCCTCAACCACTAGAACACAAAATCCAACCAAAGGATAAGATTTCCCCAGAGTCCCCCCACCCCTCAAAGAATCTTTCATCATTCTCAACAACCTGGGGGCGGCCCCCCCCCCCCCCCAAAAAAAGGGCCCCTGAATACAAGGGCTGTTTTCCTAGGGGCAGAAATTAGACTAGGAGGAGGGGTCATTAACCTTTTTGTTGTGTCACGGATCCCTTTGGCAGTCTGAAGCCAGGACTTCTGAAAATCGTGTTTTCAAACGTATAAAATACACAAGGTTATAAAGGAAACCAAATTGCACTGAAATATAATGATCAAATATTAAAAAAAAAAAATTCAAGTGTAGAACTTAGAAGCAAGAAGGCCTGAATCTGAATCCTGCTTCAGAACCTTCACAGCTGACCAGGTGACCTCCTTAATCAACTCCAAAGGCTCCACCTTACTTCCAAGATTTTTATGTATTTATATGTGTGCATATACATACAAATATGTATATATGTACAGATAGTTACAAATATTCCTAAGATCAAATACAAAATTCTCTCTTTGGCTTTTAAAGTCCCTCCTTACCTGGTCCTTTCCTACCTTTCCCATCTCCTGACCCTTGCTTCTGCTCTAAGTTTTCCAAGACCCAGCCACTCTGGCCTCTTTTGGGCAAGACCCTCCATCTGCTCCCTATTTTCTCACCTGTTTCTTGGCTTCCTTGGCTTCTTTCAAGTCTCAGCTAAAATCCCACCTGTGAGAATCCTTTCCTGGACCCCCACAATGCTAGTGTCTTCCACTTACCCTGTAGAGATCTTGTAGGGACAGTTATTTCTATGTCTCCCGTATCGGAACCTGAGCTCTGAGGGCAAGGGCTGAGCTTTCGCATTCTTTACACTTAGCACAAGAGGTTGGAACGTGGTAAGCACTTAATGCATGCTGGGCAAGTCATTTCGCCTCTCTGGGCCTCCGCTTCCTCATAGGCGGAACAGGGACAATAATAGCACCCAGCTCTCAGAACTGTAGTGAGGATCAAACTAGATAATACACATAAAGTACTTTGCAAACCTTAGCTCAATGAAGAATGCTCAGTAGTTTCCGACTCTCCGTGACCCCATTTGGGGTTCTCTTGGCAGAGATACTAGAGTGGTTTGCCATTTCCTTCTCCAGCTCGTTTTACAAATGAGGAAACTGAGGCAAACGGGGTGAAGTGACTTGCCCAGGGTCACACCGCTAGGAAGTGTCTGAGGCCACATTTGAACTCGGGAAGATGAGTCTTCCTGACCGCAGACCCGACCCTCCTACCCACTGCTCCCCGTAGTTGCCCCAATAATTGAGAATTACACGAGACACGTGAAGCCCTCGACAAATCTTAACAAGCTCTCTGAATGCAGGCTCATTATGGACCATGACAGCGGCGGCTCCGGGGCTGCACCGTGACGCCCCACGCCGCGCCGGCCCCCCGCCTGCACCGGGACGCCCCCCGCCGCGCTCGTTACCGTCGGCGCACTTGTACTGGCACAGCCCGTCCTCGCCGCCCAGCAGGTCCAGGGCCGCGTTCAGGTACGTGTCTATGCGGTGGACGCCGTTGCGGATCGTCTTGAGCGTGGCCCTCCAGTCGGTGGAATCCTCCTGCGGGCAGGCCCCGGGGGCCGCCCCGAGCACCAGCAGCAGCGGCAGCAGCAGCGCGGCCCAGGTCGGCCCGCGCCTCAGCCCCATCGCGGCCACGGCGCCCGCCTCTCAGCGGTCACGGACGACGACACCTCCCGCGTTCAGCCGCCCGGCCCGGCCAGCTCCATGCCGCCTCGGCGGATGGCGGGCGGCCGCGGCTCCGGGGCACGCGCCTCCTCTGGCGGCTGACAACGCCCGGAGCCCGACACGCTCCACCTGGAGCTCGTGCGGTGTCATCCTTCTCCGGCGTGCTCACGTGACCCGCGGCGTGCTGACATCACAAGTCGTGATGACGTCAGCGCGGCGTGCGCCACGGCGGGGCGGGGTAATAGAGAAGGGAGTAGAGGCGGGAAAAGGAGGGGTTCAATAGCGACAAAACTTTAAGGATGAGAAAAAAAAAAAAGAGACAACTTTGTGCGTCTTGAGAACTCGTGGGACTGAGTGGCCATGATGCCAGAGAACCGAGGATGGAGCGTGTCCTGACGGGAGTGGGTGGTGGGTAGGACTCAAGACACTGAAGGAAGAATTAGGACAGCCAAGTTGGGAAGTATTTGGGAACTCTCTCTCTCTGTCTCTCTCTGTCTCTCTCACCCCTTCCCTTTTTACTTCTTTGCTTCCCTCCCTCCTTTGCTCTTTCCTTTTTTTCCTTCCATCTTTCCCTCTTTCCTTTCCTCCCTCCTCCTGTCTTTTCTTCTTTTTCCTTCATCCTTCCTTCATTCCCTCTTTCCTTCACTCCTTCTTTCTTTTCTTTCTTTCTCTTCCTTCCTTCCCTCCCTCTTTTGCTCTTTCCCTCTTTCCTTCCTTCCTTTCCTCCTCCCTCTATTCTTTTCTCCTTCCTTCCTTCCCTCTTTCCTTCCTTCCCTCCCTCTTCCTTCCTTCCTTCCCTCCTTCCCTCTTTCCTTTCTTCTTTCCCTCCTTCTTTCCTTCCTTCCTTCCTTCCCTCCCTCCTTCCTTCCTTCTTTTCTTTCTTTCTCCTAAAAAGGAAAAAAAGACATACTCCTGTCCCAACATTAGCATCATTCCATGGCTTCTACCTAGACCTTTTCACTTAGTTTCTCCCTGGTTGAGCTCATCCATTTCTGAGATCTTAATGACAACCTCTCCTCTGTTAAATGTCTTACTTGTTTAAGTTCCTGGATTTATCAAAAATGCCGTAGGCACACAAGCTCTGGTAGGTTTCAATAAGCTGAAAAGGCTGCCACTGTAGATCTCCTTGTGGAAAAACCTAAGGTTGATTGGCTTATTGAATGAATGAATAAATAAATAAAGCATCCATTAAGCACTTACTATGTGCAAAGAATTGGGCTAAGTAATGAAGATTACAAAAGTAAGATTGTAGGAGCTCACATTCTAATGGGAGATATTGCACATATAGAAGATTTTAGTTGAAAGTCAGATGGAAAAGTCTCATGGTCTTTAGGGTACAGTGTTTGCCCCCCTTTTTTTTCTTTTTTGGCAATTGGAGTTAAGTGACTTGCCCAGGGTCACACAGCTAGTAAGTGACAAGTGTTTGGTCTGAGGCCGGATTTGAAGTCAGGTCCTCCTGACTTCAGGGCCTGTGCTCTATCCACTGCACTACCTAGCTGCCCTGATGCCCCTTCTTTAAAGTCATTTTCACTGATAAGATTCCATCATTTTCTGATGTTGGACCATTTGACAGTGCCAAGGACGTTGGTGTATTTTCTTTTCTAGGTCTTTAAGTAGCTGTGACTGCAGCACCTGCAGGAGCCGTTGCCAGGCTGCATCTCCACAAGGGTTGCTTCCCATGGTGATGGCTGAGGGCACTTGGGCTGGAAACAGTCATTCCAAAGGCTCTTGAGTTCAGGTCCTGGGCTGTCCCTGACAAGGTCCAAGGGGAGATGGTGGTCAGAATGTTAGTGGTAGTTTGACATGCTGACACATGCCGCCTCCTGTCTTTCCCTCAGGGTGCCTTGCTGCTTCACTTAAGCTGTTTGTTTTTTCTGCCTTGTGTGTAGAATATGGTTGGTATCCCCAGATGAAAGCTATGGGGGCTGGGCCAGAAAATGGAATAGTACTCTGGGAGGCATTGCCACTCCCAGAGCTCCTGTGTCAATCTCTCCCTCAGGATGCCATGATGCTTTAGCTAGGCTGGCTTGTCTGCCCTATGCATAGTAGTTGGTGAGGATGTTATTGACAGAATATTGGATTTTTTTTTTTTTTTTAGCCACAGCAAATTCATTAAATTATCTACCAAGGCATGGAAGAGTTTTGATCTGTACTGGGGAAGAAAGAATTTACACGTTGAAATCATGGATCCATTGACTGCTAGAAATATCCACAAGGATGTCCCAAATTGAACTCATTATCTCTCCTCCATATTCCATCCAACCATCTACCCAGGGCATTTTGCTATGTGCCCTGGCACTGAGGCCCCCTCCCCCTCCCAACCTGGAACAGTACCTTCTTGTGATAGGACCAATATTTACTACTATTCTCCCTCCCCTCGGACACCCCCCCCAACAACAAGGGTTATGGTATTTTTTTTTTTTTGTAAAAGGTGACAAAACTGTCCCCAGGACTTGATGGGGGGGAGGGGTGGCACAGTGGCCAAGACTCTTGTTGCACCTTTCTTGACATATTGCTGTGGTAGCCTCTGGCCTTATTGAGGTGGCTTCCCCATCACCTCAAGGCATAAAAATGCCAGTCACATGGTATCAGGGTCTTTCAGACTGGCAAATGTCCAAAATCTGTCCTTGATGGCAGGAACTGCTTTGATTTTTGCTTTTGTACTCTCGTTTCTTAGGGATCCTAGAATAGTAAGTAAACAGAGAACTGGCCATGGAGTCAGAAAAAGACCTAGGTTTAAGTCCTGTCTTGACTTAGGAGACTAAGCAAAACACTAAACCGCTCAGTGCTCTAGGCAGCTTTCCAAGTTGCAGAGAAGGTTGCTGACCTGCATTGATAAAGAGAGTTTCTTTGTTTGGGACGACTTCCTTAAATGCTTGAACTAAATTTAGACAGTCCAAAATATTTCCTACCCTTGTGTGGTACATCACATTTATTGTTGTTTAGTCATTTAAGTCGTGTCCAACTCTTCATGACCCCACTTGGCGTTTTCTTGGCAAAGATATTGAAGTGCTTTGCCATTTCCTTCTCCAGCTCATTTTAAAGATAAGGAATCTGAGGCAAACTGACTTGCCCATGGTCGCATAGCTAGTAAGTATCTGAGGCTGGATTTGAACTCAGTCTTCCTGACTCCAGGTCTGGTGCTCTATCCACTGCATTGTCTAGCTGCCCCACCTTGCATTTAACTTACCTGCATAAAGCTGTTCTTTAGGGTATTGTAGAGGGTCTTACCCTGGAGGCCCTGCTGGTCTCCTTTTGTAAGCTAATGCAAAAGTGTGGCTCCAGTCCACAATAACTTGAACCAAGTCATCGTTCCCCAGCAGGAGATGTGAATTAGTTGACTTAGATTATTCCCTCACAATCTAACCAGGTGTTGCCCTAACTCATTTCAAAGAATTGTTAATGAGTAGGAGGGAGATACAGGATCATAGGATTATAGCTTGAGAAAGAGAAGGAACCTTTGAGGTCATATAGTCCAAATTCCTCATTTTACAGTTAAGGAAACTTAACTGGCCCTGAGGGACCCTGAGTCCCATAAGTTAATGCAAGTCCCAAACAAAGGCCTCATCTTTAAGTCTACCATGTCAGCCAGGCTTACTTCCGGTCACAACCATTACATAACTAAATCTTCCTTGTATTAGGTTTAACCTAATTCCAGTGGGTTTCATTTCCCCACTCATCCTAGTTCATATCACCCCTCCTATGTTCCCCACTTTCCTAGATGATGCCACCTTGGTCCAGTGAGGAAATTTGTGTTCAGTGCTTCCTTGTCAATTAATCCACTCCTTAAATTGAACCACTTTGCAAGTCTCATCTGCCTGGATTAGAACAGCTTCCCATTCCTCACTGTCTACTATTGACTACTGGATAGGCAGAGTGAGAGCTAATTCCTCACATGTCTACTTTATCCAAGTAATTTTCCTCCCCACAAAAGGGTAAAAACAAAAATGCAAAAATAACCCTAAAATGGTGATTGTAGACTTATGCTACATTTGCGTTTTGATAAATATACTGTTTGAGATATATATATATATGTATGTGTATATATATATATGTGTGTGTGTACACACACAAACACACACACACAGACACGCACACACATATGTACCTTAGAGATTAATTTCCCAGAAGTTAAAGACTGGTGGTATTCTCTATCTAGTCCTTAACATATTATGCCCGCCCAGATGAAAAATATAAATTAACATGAATTACAGAAAAGAACAATGTGAAAGTAATGAGATGCTTATTTTACTGATTGTAATGTAATATATTAACTTGAGGTTCTGGGAAACTGAATGATTATGCAATCACTATGTGATGTCTCAGTGTAACAGAAAATCAACAAAATACAACTGATCAAGGACATGATAAGCCAATTTTTAAGCTTTCTTTTTTTTAAAATTCCTCTTCAAAACATTGTGGTTATGTTTTTGTGATGGATGTTGGTTAGGAAAAATGACAAGTGGCAAAAGAATGTCTTCCCATAAGTGCCTGGCACATAGTAATCATTTAATAAATACTTGTCAATTGTTATTTATCTCTTCATAATTATTGTAGTCATTTTCAGTTACAGCTGTACAGTTATTTTCCTTCATCTATAGTTTTAAGGCCTTTCAGAGGCTTGTTTCCTTAATTTTTAAATTTGATTTAATTTTTGCCCTCTCTCCTGCCAATTTCCACATATTCTCTCACCTTCCACCCTTAAGAATCACATTTCTTGGGCCAGCTAGGTGGCTCAGTGGACAGAGCTCTGGCCTTGGAGTCAGGAGGACCTGAATTCAAATCCAGCCTCAGACACATGGCACTTACTAGCTGTGTGACCCTGGGCAAATCACTTAACCCCATTGTCTAACCCAAAATAAATAAATAAATAAAATCCCATTTCTTCTTTCCCACAAAGTTAGAAAATGTTTTAATAATAATACACAAAAAACCACATGGTGATATTTAGTTTTTATGAAGAAATAAAACTATGT